ATCTTTCCGACTCGTATCGATCAGGAAGACCATCAGCGTTAGACAACGACGTGTTAAGGGCGGAAGTGGAAGCAAATCCGTGTCAGACGATCGAGGAATTGTCAAACAGTCTCAACCAACCTTGGTCGACCATCCAAGAACATTCGAAGCAGATTGGGAAAGTAAGCAGAGCAGGTGTTTGGGTCCCGCATAATCTGTCCGAACAGAATAAGGCTAACCGATCAATCACATGCAACTTATTGCTTCAACGACACAACACAGAAGCGTTTTTTGATCGCTTAATCACAGGAGATGAGAAATGGGTCCTGTATGATAACCCAAAACGCAAAAGGCAGTGGCTCTCTTCAAATGAAATCCCTCGGAGTACTGCTAAGCCAGGTTTACACCCCAAAAAAGCGCTTTTGTGTGTTTGGTGGAGTATTCGCGGCATTGTTCATTTTGAATTACTGAAACCTGGACAAACTGTTACTGCAGACCTCTACAGCGAACAATTGCAGCGAGTCAATCAATCTTTAATTGAAAAGTGGCCAGCGATTGTCAACCGAAAAGGCGTCATTCTCCAACATGACAATGCAAGACCGCACTGCGCAAGGCGAACTCTAGAAAAAATTAATGAATTGGGGTGGGAGGTGCTGCCTCATCCGCCATATTCGCCCGATGTTGCTCCATCGGATTTCCACTTATTCCGAGCGCTGCAACACTTTTTAAGTGGCAAAACATTTGCAAATTTGGATGATATCCAAAATGCCATCTCTAGATATTTTGCCGAAAAACCAATTAATTTTTATCGATCAGGGATTGAAAATTTACTCACTAGATGGCAAAAGGTTATTGACAATGATGGGGAATACATCATTGATTAAAAATAAAGACTCGTTAAAAATGTATGTGTTTGTATTTAGCGTAAGAAAACGACATTACTTTCCGGTCCCCCTAATATTATAAATATTATTTTATATTAAAATAAAATAAACAATATTTCTCACATCCCTATAATAAATGTAATATAATATAATTACCATAATTATTTTGTCGAATTTCTAACAGCATGATATAAAATTATGTATATCTCATAATTACAAAATTTTTTATTCGTAGATGCAAAAAGAAAAAAAAATTGAATCAGTGTTTGTCTGAACAGAGAGAAATTTGTTCAGTTAATCTAATATATGTAATATACATTTTATTTGTATGTTTTTTTTATACGTAACACGTTATATATATATATACATTTGCATATGAATGTAATTGGATAGTTCATACGTATTCATTTTTTCATTTTATTCGTTCTACTTTTACAACACGTCAATACGTTCATTTCACCTATTATTAAGTATTGTCCATTTCTAAATAAGTGAAAGAAAGTATACCAAAGTTGATTCTGTAATATTAACAGAATATATAATTTATAATAGTGTAAAGTGAGCAATCGGCATGATAAATATAACCCAGATATACTTAGAGTAACTTACATGGGGACTGAGAAACAGGGACAGGAGAAAGTAACACACACATATATATGTATGTATATATGTAACGTGTAATATACATCAACGATGGACATGCGAATATTAAACGATCTATTTATTCACGATATATTGATGGATGATAACAATGTTAAAGCGTATCGTATCAACTTTGTACTAGATACTTTAATAAATCATAATTTAAATCGTTTAGAATTTTTATCTGTCATAAAAAAAAAAAAAAAAAAAAAAAAAAAATACCAAAATACATTCATTTGTATTCGATAAATCGTAAACGTCTTGTCATAAGAAACGAGAAATAATAAATGAGATTAATGATTAAAATAATTAAAATATAATAGAATGAAATAAAATAAGTTTGAATATAAATAGGAGGAGGAGGAAGAGGAGGAATAATAATAATAATTTGAATATAAATTATTTGTGTTTTTTTTTAAAAGAAAATAAAAATAGGACAAATTCGATGATTTAACGAATAATAAATCCTTGCAAGTATGTGGTCGAGGGTTCCTAGTATAATTTCGTAATAAAAAAAAAAAAGAAAAGAAAATAAAGTATATAGGTGTTGGTATTTAAATCAAGATTAGAAAGTGGGAGGAGTGGGAGGAGTGGGTTATTACCATAGGATATTTCCAAATCATATATTAACCCATTCGAGATCACGACTTTTTTTCGAACACGATTCCCAAGAACCATTTATTTTTTTTTTTTATTATATTACTAATTCTACAATGCTAAATTTTGTGTTTTATTTTTTCTTATACCTTAAAGATATTATTGATACAAAATTTATATTTAACAAAGTCTTATCTTTACGAATACTTTTACTAAAAATAATTGATAATAGTTTAAGTATGGTGTGCAAGTGGACCTCCCTCCAATGGGTTAGAATAGAAAATGGTCAAATAGAAATGATTAACTAGTTCTTTGCACTTGAAGTTTTGTTTTTCATTTCTCATTAATTAATTTTAATTGAAAAATCATATTAACATATTATATAAATAAATGATATATATAAATTATTAAAAATAAAGTCTCTCATAATTGACATATTGTAAACTAGATTGAATTTGCTTCACTTTCTTTTTAATTATTTATTTATTTATTTATTTATTTATTTATGTATTGTCTCCACAACCCTCGAGTGCAAAGGGTTAATAAGATAAGAAATATGATTTCAAAACAAAACAAAAAAAACAAAAAGAAATAATCAACACGTGATATAGATATAGATATAAAAGATAGAGATAAAAAGAAAATAAGATAAATAATATAGAATAAGAAAGAAATAAAAAAAAAGAGAGAGAGAGAGAGAGAGAGAGAGTGAGGGGAAGGGGGTGTGCTGGGGTATAACATATTTGCATTTTAATTTGCATATTAAAACATGCCTCGTCGATCTATGGGGACCATGCATGGGGGCTGGTTGGTTGCTGCTTCTGCTGTTGCTGCGAAATACGATAGCCCAGCCTGTACTCCGCACACTCCCGTCGTATTAACGTTATAAACGTGAGTTACACGACCGCAAGGCAACCCGACGGCCATGAAATCGTTCACGCATGCCGATCTTGAAATATGCACCCGTGGACCAAGATTATCATGCATTGATAGAAAGAAGAACGGTGAGAGGGGACCCACCCCGTTGTCTTGTCTCGATCGATAACACAACGAAGATCGATTCGTTTGACCATTTTATTTCTACAATATTTTTCAATCATTCTTTCTATCTATTGAGGGTTTGGTATTTCAATTTTTGTGAGGCTTTTTTTTTGTTGTTGTTGTTGTTTTTACATATTTTAAATAATTTTACATAAGATTTTGTACAAAAGTATTACGTATGTATTTATGTACGTAGTTGTTTGCAACATGTGTCGTGAATTTATTTTCTCATGAAATGAAAAGGATTATTATCTTTTTAATTAAAATGATTGTTTGTTTATTATTATTATTATTATTATTATTATTATTATTATTATTATTATTATTATTATTATTATTATACATTGTTCATACTAATATATATAAGGTTGTTTGTAATGCATATAGGGAAAGTGGAATGTGTGATTTAAATAATGATGATGATGATGATTATGATTATGGGATAAATAAATATGGATAGGAATTAGATAAGAGATTTTGGTGTGATAAAAAAATAAGTACATTTTGTTTTATTTTATTTGTTAATTTTTATTTTCAATTCTTCTTTATTTTTTTATTTTTTTATTTTTTTTTCTATTTTCACTTCATCGATGATATATCTATTTATCTATCTATCTATCTATCTAGAATATTTTCTAGACGTTTGGAATATACACAAAACATACAAATATTACAGTAATATTACAGCATTCGCGTATATACGCGTATACGTAAGAGAGTGAAAGAAAGAGAGAGAGAGAGTGAGAAACATCGAATTAGAGAAGATTACACATCTTCTTCGAAGCTTTAACTTTTCGATGCATGTTTCTATCTTTCTCTCTCTTTCTCTCTTTCACTCTTTCGTATCTTCCCAGCGGGCTTTTTCTTCAAACCAGCCTTTTCATTCGACCTTCGTTTCACTCATTCTATCTTTCTCTTTCTCTTTCTCTTTCTCTTTCTTCTTCTTCTTCTTCTTGGTTTCTTAACTTGGTATTTTCTTTTTTTTTCGTTTCCAACCCTTTTTTTTGTTTGATTATCATTTTTTTTCTTCTACAATCTCCATTCCAACGTTTCATCATGTGCAAAAGGGTTGGCAGTTTCCTCGAAGCGTTTGAAACTGTGATTCTCGAAGAAGAAGAAGAAGAAGAAGAGCGAATAACACAAGCAAAGTAAACCCAGGTTTAGTTTCTCTTTCTTTTCCTTATTCGTTCGTAAAGTTATACGTTTGAAGTAACGAACGAATGAACGAACGAACTAACCAATCGTGAGCCGTCACGCGATAATACACTTTGAATGTGTATAAGTTGTACCTTTCAATCGATCAGCACGAACCCCCATAAGAAGAAGAAAAGAGGAAGGAAGTTTAACGTTCATCGAGCATGACGAGTTAATAGATTAATTGTCACCCTTATCCCTTAGGGTTACTTCAATCCTATCATAAAATTTCTCTCTTTCTTTTCTTTTCTTTTCTTTTCTTTTTTTCTAATATTTTTATTTTTTTATTTATTAAATTTTAGTTTAGTTAGCAGGTGGATATTTTTTATTTTTCAAACCATCTATAATATGTTCGAACGAAAATTATACGTTCATTTTACGAAAGATAAAATAACAACTAATAATTCTACCATTTTGCAATTAGATATTTCGAAAATTGTTATTGTTTAAAGTAATTTTTGACTTTAATTTTATTTTTTTTTTTTTTTATTTGTTCCCCCTCCTGATAGAAAGATAGAATTATTTCCATTGGATGTAACGCGCGTTTCGCACGGCTAAGAAATTCCCATAAAGTAAAACACGTAAGTGTGCGCGTTATTCTCATTGAACTCTTATGAGGTAGTCTCTTCTTTCTCTCCCTCTTTATTTCTCTTTCTCTCTCTCTCTCTCTCTCTCTCTCTCTCTACGAATGACGACGACAGTATCGCCGTAATACCGGAAGCCAGATTGCGAAAGCCATCTTCGGAGAAAACCGCTATATCCGTTGCTCGTCCGCGAGTCTGTAATTACAGGATGATTTTCTTCGGTCAACGGCCTTGCAAATCTTTCCTGTTCTCTCATCTCGGACCATGTATCTCTATCTCTCTCTAGTCCAGGATATGTCCACGTTTCTAGCAACCATCTTTCATCGATCATCCAATCTCATTATTAATTTCTTCCATCATTTTAGGGAGTTCTCTGTGTTCTGGGCCCAATCTTCGATTATTCAACTCACTCATTTACTTTTTCTCCTAATATTCTTTTTAAAAAAAATATATATATAAAAGAAAATGTTACATAAAATTAGTATTACATCAACAAACAGTGTTGTAAATTCCTTCTTCTTCTACGTTAATTGTATTCGTTGAAACATCTGAACGTTCAGACCTTGTTGGTGCTAATTTAACATAACCTCTATCTTTTTCCCTAGTACCACTGCCACTACCACTACCATTCCCACTACCACCAACCTGTGACTGATGTTTACTTATCGGGGGAGGTGGTGGTGGTTTTTCTTCTTTCGTTAAATCCCCAATAATCTTCCTATCAGGTGGTTCACAGATTTCAGCATAAATGTCTTCAGTCCTAGGTGGTGGTGTTGGTGGTGGTAATGGGGTTAAACTATCCCTAACCTTGGAATAAGGAGGATCGGCATCGGTCTGTGACTGAACTTCTAACACACTAGTTGAGATTGATCTTTGAACCTGGTGTCTAGAAGAAGAAGATCCACCACCACCTGAGGACGCATGCGTGAGGTTCGTTTCCGACTCGAGACTCGCGTATCTTTCCGGCGATCTCATACCAATTTCCGGTCTCACGGCAAAGGTGAAGGACGCTGATTTTTTTGCTGGATTACGGCTTCTACCGCCTTGGGCTATCCTAGAGATTTTGTCGAGGAAACTGTGATTGTTGGTGTTACCACTGGTGTTAGTAACATTTCTACCATTGCTACGATCACGTATCGTACTTCTTTTGATATTTTCTAAACCTTCTTTGAGACTTTGTAGTATTGGTTTGGGTTCAGGTTTAGATTTGATTTCTTTCAAGTGTAATTCTTTCAATTGGCCGCCGTTAATGCAAGGTTTAGGTGGTGCCACCCTAGGTTCCGTTGCTCTTTGATCCAATGCTCTTCTGTAATCAAAAATTAAATAGGCGTGCGATTTTTTTTTTTTTTTGGGTGGGAGTGTATTATTCATTCATTTGATTGTAATCTTTGCTTTTGTATGTAAAATATTTTAATAACGTTCCGGAATTTTGATTTTATTCAAGCCATTTCGTGTGTTTCATTAAAAAAAAAAACAAAAAAAATTAGCAAGCAAGAATTTATCGTTCATATTTAATATTACCTGCATGCTGATAACAATCGTTGCATTTTTGGTGAAGCCAATAGCCTAGCTTCTGATGGACACCCCAATCGTGCCCTTTTAACCCTTGGTGCAGTTGGACCTGTAGCTACGAGTTCCAGCAATTCTGGTACCGTTGTATTTGGCAATGGTCGTTCAGGCATCAAAGGTACTGCACATCCCAGTACTATTGGTCCCTTAGTTGCACCTTCTAATTGCATCAGTCCACTATAATCTCGTGGTAATGGTATTGGTAAAGGCCCAGCTACTAAACGTACCTATGAAACAAGAAACAAATAAAAAATATGAATAGTTAAGGTGGTTATTTCAGATTTGTTTAAGTGCAAATTGAAAACCTTTGATTAATAGTTGAGAAAAGTTTGTATTAACTGTACAAATAATTGTTAACATGAAAATTTAGTGATAAGAAGTTTACCCTAAGTGGTAGGTCTCTTCTGGCTAATTGATGAACTCTATAAAGTACCGCGTCACTTCCAGTATCAAGTGTACCACCTTGACAGGTGGCATAAAATTCTCCCCTTGCTGAGAGCTGTGCAAATAACTCGTGTCCGTGTGAATCTAAACATTGGGCGTACTGATCTCTTTCAGATGATCTTGAACTTTTACCATCCGGAATGCCAGCTATCACACCGGATATGCCACTGTTGGAAACTGGTGCTCGTCTTGTGTCTTGAAAAACAGCGGTCAAACGTAATACCTCACCAGCCCTTACGGTTGTCTTCGTGTAATGTGCACGTAAATTTCCATTTTCTATAGATAGGGAACAAACAAAACAACAAATTGTTTGTTTTCAATAAACTTCGAAATTGCTAAATCGATTTTTATGAAAATTACATTTATTATTTAAATAGTATCTTAATATATAGGATTATTTTGTATTTTTTATTGCTAATTTGGGGAATTATTATTTAAGGTTATCTAGGTCTTTTTAGGTACTGTAAGTTTTCAGTAGATGGCGTTGTATTAAAATTCAATTTTTTTCAGGTTTTTTTTTTTTTTAGAGTCACATCTGACAAAACTAACCTCGTTTTATTTATATATTTTTTTTTTCGTGTATTATTATTTTGGGGCTGTTGTTATAATCTACTAAATATTTTATAATTTTATTAAATCAACATTTTATAAAAAAAAAAACAAAAAAAAAACCACGAAACATCCCTAGCACATTTAATATACTCGGATAATTTTGTTTAAGAAACATTAAATTATTCTCTCGACACGTAAATTAAAACATACAAAAAAATCGTTCCAACCAGTATCAATAAATATGTCTGACATTAGATTAGTACAACGAAGAAGTGCGTTGGAAGATGCATGGAAATAGATTGACCATTCCCCTTCCTAATTCTTGTTTGTACACAAACACCATCCCTACTTGCAAGTGTGTAAGAAAATTAAAAAAAGAGAGAAAGAGAGAGAGAGATGGAAGAAGAATGGAGAGCAATTAACGGCAATAAACGCGCACGTAGGCGACGTGATAACGGACATCGGTGAAGCGACATCGAGGGGAGGAGTATTATAGTCCTAGCACATGAACTAACAACACACAGCAGCACCAACCACGAGAATATGTTACACGCCCATGCTAAGAAAACGTTCGAGTAAAATAACTCGAGGCAATAACGCCATTCTCACTATACCCATATATTATTATTATTATTATTATTATTATTATTATCATCTATTATATTATATATAATAATATTAAAAAAAGGAAAATTAATTTATACAAAAAACAAAATTTAATAAAATTACCATTTTTCTAAAACCCCTAGGGTTTACCTTTAGGGTAACTATTAATACTTTCTAAAGTTTTATGAAACAATAATTACAATTTGCAATAAGTTATATTTATTATACATCCCTAATTAAATCTATGGGTATAAAAATTAATGTAATGTTTAACACACACACACACACACACACACACATATACATAAACATTTATATTAGTATATTATTATCTATCATGAAATTAATAATGTTAATATTTTATTAATAGATTTGAATGTTGTTTAACACATAGGATAAGAAGAGAAATTGGAATTATAAGAAATAATATCGGATATAAACTTAGAAAATTTGTAACCACAGATAGAGATAGAGAATAGGACGAGCCCCCCATAGTATTTTCCAATAATCGTTTTAATAGTTAATGGCATGTAACACGAGTCGTGCGTATCGTAAGAAACAAGGCACCGAGAAAGAACGGGCTTTCACTGTGCTCACTAGCAACACCACGACTAACCTAACACACTGGAATAACGTAACAAATACACACACACACACACACATATACACACTTGCTAGTGAAATGATAGTAAGCTGATGGTGGTGGTGATGGTGGTGACTGTAGGACTCGCCTATATTTAAACGTATGATCTTAAACTGGCTAGTGGGTTTGTTGAAAAAGGGGGAGAAAAAAAACATGAAGAGTAGAATAAATAAAAAATACAAAATAAAAGGAATAGGAAGGGCTAGAAGAAGAAGGGAATATAGAAAAGGAAAAAGAACGAAGTAAAGTCGTATTAACAGACACACATTGACATTCGTGTCACGGTTACTCGCTGCACCCAAGAAAATAATAGGCTCCTTTGGGATTACTACGTACACGTGCGTGTGCAGCAAGCCGCATTGTCACGTCTTATGTTAGTTGTCCCATTCCCCCTTTTCCAGTAGATGAGAAAGCGAATAGGTACACCTTTGAAGTGTCCTGTCTTGTTCAATACCAAGTGCAAATCCTATCCAGTCCTGTCCTGTCCTGTCTCTTGTCCTGTTCTGTCCTGTCTTGTCTTGTCTTGTCTTGTCTTGTCTTGTTTTAACTTATCCCAAGTCCAGGTACGTACTGTCCTCTCTTATCAAGTTGACGACATGGACAACGTGTTGTACGATGTAAGATGTACGTTCTCGATTCAGACACGTGCCACCTTCTTACCTTATCTCTTATTTCTTCATTCGTTTACTTACTTTCTCACTTTTCTTGTATTTTTTTTTGTTTTGTTTTGTTTGCTTTGTTTTATTTTGTAGATCTTTTTATTTAACTCTAACACATTGATACACACAGACACACGTTTTACCGTCTACAAAATCGACATTTAAATCTATCGAGATAGAACTTCTTTCCCCTTTCCACTATTATTTTTATTTTTATTTTTTTATCCAATCTCAGTTATAGGTTTCCCATCTAAACGAGTTTTGTACTTTCACACTTTGATATTCATATTAACAGGCTAGTCAATAATTATTCGTTTAATTACTATAACATAACTCGATATATTTAATATATTTATATATATATGTGCGACGAGGTATTTTTTGTTTTGTTTTTTTGTTGTTGTTGAAAAAAAAAAAAATGTGTATATAACCTATACTGATCGAAATGATAAAAGGGCCGGTTTTATTGGTTGGATATTTCAGTATTAAAACGTGTAAAGTAATTATCTTGAAAAAATGTTTTCTATTTTTTATCTTCTTCTTCTTCTTCTTCTTCTTCTTTTTCTTTTTCTTTATTATATTCTTCCTTTTACCGAGATGAATTATTAATATTAACTTGTAGGTTATAAATTAAAATAAAAGATATTTTCTAAGTAATCAAGTTACTTACGAGTCATCCTATATAACAGGGATGTTTAAAACGTATCTACTTTCTCTCTCTCTCTCTCTATTTCCTAACGTTTTGATAGTTACATGTAATAGCTCTATCAGGAAATATTATACCCATATACAGGGTGATTCACCAGTTCTTGACACTTAAATAGTTCTAAAAGTATGATATAAACAGAAAAGTGGATACAGAAAAAGTTGCATGAAAAATTCAGGACTACAAATATGATAGCAGTATTTTTGTTGTTGCTAGGTTTAGTCATTTTTGAGATTTATTAGTCATTTTCGAGATTTATTTTTTTTTTTTTTTTTTTTAAATACAATGTTATATTTTAATCCTTTTTTTCGGATAGCGGCTGACAAGATGAATCCAATGATATTTCAGAATTATTTAAGTGTCTAGAACTGATGAAACACCGTGTATATTAAATTATTATAAGAAAAATTGTAATTCTTCGATTAAAAAGAAAACAAAATGTCTCCCTTTTCTTCAGACATTGGTGGTGGTAATCTTTAAGAAGGGTTCAAAGAGAAGAAAGGGAAGAATAAGGAGGGGGGGGAGAGGGGGGTAAAAGTTTATAGCATAATCGGTCTCTCTTATCCATAGGAGGATTAATTTGCGAGTGTCATCTGTTAATAAATCACATTGGACTTACCCATCTTGGAATGTGTTAGTGTGTAAGCCCTTAAAGGCTTTGCTAGTAGAAAAGCCGGCACACCGGCTCGTACCAAAGCACCGACCCTTCTGTATACTCGTGCACTTCCGGTACCGCTGTTGTTTGACACGACCGAAAACCATCCTGCAAATTGTCAAAGTTTAATTTTGTTAGTTTTTTTTTGTTTAATTTTTTTGTTTTTGTTTTGTTTTGTTTCGTTTGGATTGTTTTTGTGAATCTTAATTAAAGAAACTTATTTTATTTTATATATATATATATACCATGTATCCCGAAAGGGAATCATTATTTTAAATAAATAAAAAATATATATATATATATATTTTTATATTATATTTATTTTATCTATATATATATATATCTATATTATATCTATATATATCTATATTATCTATATATATATATATATTTATTTTATTTTATTTTATTGTATTTTATTTTGTATTTTATTTTGTATTTTATTTTATATTATATTATATTTCTTTAGTTGAATTTTCTTTTCATTTTGTGTGTGTGTGTGTTTTATTTTTTTACGAAATTTCTTTTTTTGTTTTTGTTTGCAACGTTTATAAGGACGCATTAAATAAATAATTTATCTTAAATATATACGTAAGCGTGGACGTGTGCTACTCGTATGATATAATTTACGATTGAATGTAAACATCCAGCACGCGTTATCCTTCACTTGACTTCTCTCTCTCTCACTCTCTTACTCTCTTATTCTTACTCTTTCCCTTTTCCCTTTTCCCTTTTCCTTTCCCTTTCTTTCTCTTTTTTTCTTTCTTATAGGAATATTTGTACAATGGGTATACGTATAAATCGTACGAATCGATTTGCTGCTTGAGTCTCCCCAACCCATCTCCTTCTTCTTACATCGTATTTCCAATCTTTATAAGGTTTTTTATTTTAAAATTGATTTACAACTTACTCGATGTGTGTCCAGTTAAAATATACCGGGAGAACACACAAAGAATGTATTCTTTACTGTAATTATATTACGACGTTTTTTTTTTTTATTCAAACCTTCTTCTTTAATTGCAATTTTAGATGTAATTTTTTTTGATTCTCTTGAAACAACCCCTCCTCAACTTTATCCTCACTCACACCTTACTTCACTTTAACCCTTTTCAAAAATGAAAGGATCGATCATTTTCATCCTCGTTGTATGAGTCTGTTTGTGTCTGTCTGTGTGTGTGTGTGTTTGTTGTTTTTATTTTTTTTGTTTGTTTTGTTTTTATGATTTTAGTAGAAGATGTAACAGGAAAGATTTACGATCTCAGGTTAATTTCATTTTTCTTGGCGTAAACGTAATTTTCGTGTTAACGTTTAAAGAAGTCGTAAGAATTTCTTTTCAAAGAAAACAAATGTATAATTAAATATAATGTTGGTTTATTGTTTTAGTATTATACCCAGCATAATATTATACTTTTCTTATAGATAAGAAATTCTCTTGGTAATTTTTCTAAGTTTTATTATTTTTCTTGTTCTGTTTGTATTATGGTTGTTTAAGAACGTGGGCATTTAATAACGCGTTTTATTATTCTTTAACCTTTCAAGTTAGAGAAGATAATTTAAGGTAATCTTTTCAAAACAATGGATCAATACACAATTGTTATTTATACAATGCTTGATTATTATATGATAGATAATTAATAATAATAATAATAATAATAACAATAAGACATTGATATATTTTTCAAACGTGTTTGTAATCAAATTACAATTTTGCACGCTGATTTGATTTTGTTTTTTATAATATTTCTTTTTGGGGGGAGGAGGGGGATGGGTAGGG